TAAACGACATGTAAGGACTCCCACCTGGTAATAACAGCACTGATGACCGCACCCACAGTGGCTGGGTCGCAACCTCGGCTGCCGTCCGACACCCAGACGGCTCCCAGGCAGGCCCACACGAACTCTGGGATATAGAGCAACGCTCGCAGGTACACCAGGGCCGGCATGGAGCGCCGCGCGCCAGGGTTGGTAATAGTGCCTGAGGGAATAATCCACAGGTATTGCTAATATCCACAACAGACATTTTGAACAAGGCATTCATGGCATGATTACAGCAGCATTGACTAGTGGATGTTTGATTAGCTGCAGTGCAAGGAAGATGTCATAATTATTACAAAATCTCTTCAAAATTGCCAGCGTTTCATCACAGATGAGCACAAAATGTTCGCCGCTTCCTTCCTGCATTACAGGATTACGCAATATGACTGTTGCAGCGCAACCTTAAGTCGATGCTTAACTATAAAAATCATAATGACAAGATTGTAGAGATGAAGATCCTGATGCACCAAATGATTCCCAACATTTGTAGCCTAGAAACACATGAACCAACAGCATCTACCTTAAATAGGCCTGTCAGAATAAGTCAATTAATCGAATTGTAAATTAAAACAAACTCAGTAATTTCCATTTGCGTGATTTATGTTCTTTTCTCTTTCCTCTCTTTCTACCAAAAACTAAATGACAAAAGTCTGGAGTCTGGTGCTTTCGTCTCAAACAGCCGTTTTTTTGAAGGACAATTTTGTTTACAGGGACTTTATAATTGTTGGCTACAAATGTTGACGGTGTGTTCTATGACTTTGTGTTTTTATGATGCAAAATACTTTGAACTGCTTTGTTGCTGAAATGTGCGTGCAAATAAACTTTATCGATTGATTGATAACTCATTTGACTTGTTCTGTGGTCTTGTTTGTTTATTTTGGATATTAAAATGTCTTCCACTGTCAGTCTTCAATGCTCATTAGACTTCGAAGTTTATTAATCTTTGAGAATGTCTTCTGGCAGTATCATGCCATTACCATTAAATTACTTGAAAGTGGCGTCAAAATTAACGCCACTTATGGCGATAAACGACAGTACCGTTTATCGTAATAACTTCTGCGACAATTTATCGTCCAGCAAAATGTGTTCTTTCGTTTACTTACCTTGGGCACTGACATAGACAATGGCCCACAGTGACAGGATGATGAGCCCTAGCACGACCAAGAGTCCAACTAGGTAGGTATGCAGAACTCCTCTCCCGTTACAATCAAAGTGACCCTTATGATAGGTGAACAAGATCAAGGTGCCAATCCACCTGAGGAGGAACAGCAACCAACATCAGAACTCTTATAAACTATGTGTGAGACACGGGAAATGAGGTGCAGCAACATACCAGAGCACACGGAGTAGCAGCTCGAAAGAGCCGGGGAAGACGAGATCATCGCTGGCGATCCCCCAGCGCCTCCCGAACGCCACCATTCCAGGCATTTTGTAAACAAGCTGAAATCCCTCACTACTACTGCTACTGCTAACTGCTAACCGAACCTGCTAACCGCTGTTATACCAGGACCATGAGTCTCTTGAGCAACACACGCAGGCACGTCAGGCATGACTTCATCTGCCCTGGCAATGATCTGATCTTCGCCCCTTTGCTGTGACATCAGACTTCCTCGATTGCAAAATTCCCCCTACTTCATTTCTGCCTCACATGGGTTAGCCGCTAGCTAACGCTGAAAACTCTCACTTACCAGAGTTCAGATTCAGCAAAAAAAAAAAAAAAAAAAAAAAGCTGTAACAAGTGATATGTGTAGTTTTACTCCGGATATCACAACGCTTCAACGCGTAGCTGGAGCCAACAAAAGCAACCCGTCTAAAACGGGTGTAGCTGCGGTCATTTTTAGCTGCTAACCTTAGAGCTACCTTGCTAAAAATACCTTAGAGGTATTCTAGAAAAAAAGGCTAGAAACTGACAAAATTACTCCTTAGCTAGTTATACCAGAATAATGCTAAAAAATACTGTACAGCTTTGTGTATGTTACGAAATGTATTTATATTCATATAAAATGCGCAAATCTTCTGTTTTGTTTTCCTTCCCTTGGCCACTTACTGGGTCCGCCCCATTTGTCACCCGCTATGCTGTGTGCGCCGGCTAGGCGTGGTTTGAACAGCATTTCAATAATCACATAGGTATGGGTAGGGGTGGCACTTCTACATGATATGTGGCTTTTATGAAGATAACAGACGTTTTGGTAGCAATATATTGTCTTTTTTCAAATCATCAGTAAAGTCAATGTGAGGGTGCAATTTTGTCAAAAGGTAAGGAATTAGGTGTACCAGTCAGAATGAGGCATGCCTTTTATCAGATCCACACGTGAAAGAGGCGGGCCTTCTTAAATCCAGTTGGAAATATAAGGGAAAAATACTTTTCGCCCCTGACCCGTTTTAGACGGGTTGCTTTTGTTGGCTCCAGCTACGCGTTGAAGCGTTGTGATATCCGGAGTAATTCAGGTAATTAGTCACCTGAATTAATACGCTTGATTGTTGAACTCGGAGAGGACACTCCCAACCTGCCTGCGTTAGAAACAAGTTTGCCGAGAATGGAGAAATAGCTCTTGGATTTGAATATAAAAGGACAGAAGGGCCATTAAATGCACCCCGTACTTCTACAACAAAACCATTTTGGTAAGACAAAAATTCCGCCCACTTCCTTTAATCATCATTACTACCCAGGTCATTCGCCGGCTGACTGCCAAGGAACGCACCCAGTGTTTCCATCCCTAGTTGATCTCGGACCTCAATCGAACCATTTAACAATGGTTCCGATGCGGTACCAAATGAGCATTTTACGGAGCCCTCCAGGGGACATGGGGAATTTTTTTTTCTTTTGCGTTCCCTCGCAATACATTTGCGTTCCCTCGCAAAGGTTTTGCGTTCCCTCGCAATAATCTACTGATCAGTTCATGTGGCATAATTGAATATTGTAAGCCTTTTTACGGTGGCCGCCGTACTTTCTGCTTTATATACAAGCTTATAAGGTTTTTCCATGCACTACTGAGTTATTATTGCGGGGTAATAAGTCATCTGATTGTGTCTCTATTATGTTCGTAGTCTGAATGGTTTAAAGGGCTGCTTTCTGTGCCTTTCCATCTTAGCCTTAACAGACATAAACATGCAGTAAATAAATCGATTTTCAATCAGTTTTTTTGCACCAAAGCCGCATGAATTGATCAGTAGATTATTGCGAGCGAACGCAAAATCTTTTGCGAGGGGATGAAAAAGGTATCTTTCTGACCTGTGTCTCACATGGTTCCATGGTGTAATGGTTAGCACTCTGGACTCTGAATCCAGCGATCCGAGTTCAAATCTCGGTGGAACCTGTCTTTTGTCATTAAGCTCATTAATTTTTAACTATGATGTCACCCATATATAACAAATATATCCTGACAACTTCACTGGCTACAAAAGCTATCTCGATGCATACCAGGGTAGTAAAAATAAAACAAAAACTAAGGTCGGAAATCGAAACTTTGTTGGGTGGAGATTGCGTATTTCCTACAGTGGGGAAGTGGAGGGCACGTGTTTCCGGTAGCGTTTCTCCATTGTGTACAGCTTCCTGGGTACTACACAAAGTAGACACACTGTCAGTCAGCTACCAGCGGCCCGGTCCTCGGCGTGAGCTCGAGTAGCGGTTTGATTGTGTGGGTAAGAAAGTCTCTTGCAGGTTCGAGCTGGCTTGTGGTGAAAGGCTTGCAACGAAAACATTCTTGAATGCATCCTAACAAGGCGTCAAAAATGGCGTGTGGGATGAACAGAAGTCGGAAGAGAATGGGAGAATATTCCAGACTGTTATTATTAACGGTGCATCAGAGTTATGAGTGGGTCAGAAATGGGAGATTCGGTAATTAGACAGGAAGATTTGAGAAGATAGAGGGAATACTTTTGAGGGAACACTACCAAAAAAATTAGAAATAGAAGTAACGAGGACGCCTAAGACAGTGAAATTAAAGTTTAGTTGAAGAAAATGTGTCTAAAATGATACCATAGAGACTAATACTAGTGTTAAAGAAGCTGAATATCCAACACAGTGATTATTATTTCAGTGGAGCATGAAAAATGTTGAAACCAGACCTGCAGTACTGCATTTTGCTTATCTTTCCATGAGGAAAATATGTACGCTATGTAAATATTTAAGTTGTCAAGCATTAATATATTATGGTATATTAATTTAGAATTAATTTCTTTACATGTCAAAAAATATGCTTGCTTAATACAGGCATGTAATTATGAATGCAGAAATAATGCATTCACATCTGTACTAATTACAGATGTAAATATAGAAAATAAGACTGTTAAAATCAAGTCAACATGAATTTTTGTACAGTAGGTGGCGGTATACTCCTTCCATTACAGTTTCCCAGTAAATTAAGAAACGAACGAAAGAACCAGCATGTTTTTTGTTTGTTTGTTTGTTTGTTTGTTGTTGTTGTTGTTTTAACAGCAGTTTTATGGGGGGGTACAAAACGACCCGAAGTTCCACCAAACTCGTTAAATATGAGCTTATTAGCTCAATTGGATTGTTATATTAAGAAGTGATCACCTCTTCTATAAATACTCTCATTCAGTAGGGGGCGGTATTACACTTTACAGGTGGCATAAAACACCAGAGGAAGAGCATAGACTTTCATGACCAACATGGCGACCTGCATTATTCGACGCTTATATTCACTTTGCAGTAGTAGCAGTGTAAATGTGAGTCCTCCGCTCGGTAACCTCAACTGTATTAGCTTCAAATTAACCAACAGCACATTGTCGAAACTTTATTATGGGACTCGAAGGTCAGACTCTTCCGAGGTATGTAAATAAAACCAGCCTTCGTTTATATGAAAAAAATCAATTAGTTATGACTGTACTACCTGTACTAGTCTAATTTGTTCACCAGAAAAAATGGTGACAAGATGAGTACAAAGCTAACCCTTTCAACTGGAAGCCATTGTTGTGTTAAATTATGCTCATATTTTGTATGGGCAATGTTACGTAAAAATTTAATACAATTACTGTTTTGTCTTCAACAGGACACGCACGTGCACATTCCAGTAGGTAAATGAACCGATGAATGAAAAAAGAAAAGTCTGATTTACTTTTTTTATTTTTTATTTATTTATGTCTTCTCCCATATTGGGCCATAGAGCGTCTGACTGTGTCCTACAGCAAGAGCAGCGGCCCTGGAGGTCAGCACGTTAACAAAGGTAAACAAATGCTAGTTTTAAAGAGATTTTTGCACAGGGCTTTGCAAAAATATGTATACTTCTTGAATTTACAATTTTAGGGCCATAAGTAATGGAAGACTCGGCTACTAAGCCTACAGTTAATCTAAAAGTGTTATTTGAGTGGTTTTTGTTCTAAAGTTATGACCTTAATCCACAGTCGGCACTAAAGCAGAGGTCCGATTTCATGTGCATACAGCCGACTGGATCCCTGAAGACATTCGACAGAAAATCGTAGAAAAGGTTCGTTATGTGGCGAGTGTATCTATTTGTACATCTAGAGAATTTACACACGCACTACAGCTGATGTCTACTTTTAATGTCCTGTTTGTTTTACATTCCATGTCCACTTTGAAAAACTCCACAGAACAAAACCCGCATCAATAAGTCTGGGGAGCTCCTGGTGACCTCGGAGGTGAGCAGGAGTCAGCAGAGAAACCTCTTGGACTGTATACAGAAGATCTCCGCCATTGTAGCTGAGGCTAGCAAGAGACCCCGCGAACCATCAGACGAAGACGTAGCTCTAAGAGCAGCCAGGTGATACCCAGTGAAATGAATTGATTTGAGCTTCTTTATATGTTTAAACTACAAGTTTGTCATTGATTATGTTGTGCAGGATCGAGAAGAGGAACAAAGAGCGACTCAGACAGAAGAAAATCCTTTCATCAGTCAAGAACAGCCGACGAGTGGATTTCGACTGACGATGCAACATCGAGCAGTCGTTTTGTAGTTCACACTCACTGGCCACTTTGTGCATATAAGGCATCTAGATGTGAAAAAAAAACGTATAGAAGTTCACACTAGGCATCAGAATGGGGAAGAACGGGGATTTAAGTGACTTTGACCGCGGCAGAATTGTTGGCGCCAGACGTACCGGTCTCAGTATTTCAGAAACCGCCGACTTCCTGGGCTTTTCACGCACGACCATCTCCCGAGTTTACAGAGAATGGTCCGAGAAGAAGAAGATGTCCAGCATGCGACAGTCTTGCGGGCGAAAATGCCTCGTCGACGTCAGGGGCCAGATGAAAATGGACCGACTCATTCGAGACGATAGAAAGGCGACGGTAGCTCAGATAACGACCCGCTACAACGAAGGCGTGCAGAACACCATCTCCGAACGCACGGCACGCCGGACTTTGAAGCAAATGGGCTACAGCAACAGGAGACCGCACCGGGGGCCAGTCCTGACGGCAAAGAACAGGAAGCTACGGCTACAGTTCGCACAGGCTCACCAGAAGTGGACAGTTGCAGATTGGAAAAACGTTGCCTGGTCCAACGAGACCCGATTTCAGCTGCAGCAGTCGGACGGTCGGATCAAAATTTGGCACGAGCAACAAGAAAGCCTAGATCCATCCTCCGTGGGATCACCGGTTCAGACTGCTGGTGGTGTAATGGTGTGGGCAATGTTTTCTTGGCACAAATTGGGTCCTTTAGTGCCAATTGAGCATAGTTTAAACGCAGCAGACTACCTCCGTCTTGCTGCAGACCATGTCCGGCCCTTTATGACCACGGTGTACCCGTCTGCCGATGGCTACTTCCAGCCGGGGAATGTGCTCCATCATAACGCTGAAGTCATCTCAAGCTGGTTTCTTGAGCATAAGAGCGAGTTCAGCGTACTCCAGTTGCCTCCGCAGTCGACGGACATCAATCCGATAGAGCACCTGTGGGATGCGGTGGAGCGAGAGATTCGCATTATGGATGTTCAGCCGACAAATCTCCAACAGCTGAGTGACGCCATCATGCACGTGTGGAGCAAAATCTCCGAAGAATGTTTCAGAAACGCTGTTGAGTCTATGATACAGAGAATTGAAGAGGTTCTGAAGGCGAATGGGGGTCCAAGTAGGTACTAACAAGGTGCTACGAGTAAAATGGAAC